TCCCATTCGACCAACCCCTCCAACCATCGTTTTCTTAGTGGTCCCTTCTCTATTCCAGCTGCCTGGAGAAGCTGTTTATCTTCTGTCTAAGGGTGTCCACAGAGGCCGCTTCCTCCCACGTCTGAGCTGGCTCTGGTGACTCCACTCTCTCTTTTTTAAAATTTATTTGGTGATGTATAGGGGCTGGGGAAGATTTATTTTGGCCACACCTGGTGGTGCTCAGGGATCACTCCTGGCAGTGCTGGGGACCTCATATACAGTGCTGGGGATCAAACCAGGGGCGGCCTTTACTATCTCTCTTTCCCAGAGTTTGCTTTCTTCCGCCTGTCTTTCTGATATTCTTCCAGGATCTTATTCCCTCTCCTCTGCATCCGCCCCTTCCAGTCTTGAGATCCTTGTGATTCTGTTGCAGACGACCCTAAAGTAGGATAAATTCTCTGGGTTCTAAGGCCAGCAGATCAGCAACCTTCATTCCCCTTTTCCAACGCAAGTAAAATATCCCTGGGGCCCAGCAATCAGGGTGTGAGTGTCCTTAGGGGCCCTGTCTCCTTCCACCCACTGTGTGAGGCCGCCCTCGGGTTGCCCAGGCCTGGGAAGACCCATTTTCTCTGCTCTGCAGGTGCAGGAGGACGCAGGTGGCAGGTAAGAAAGATAAAGTTTACAGACATTCTCCAGCTTTCCCAGCCTGTGTCCCTCGAGGCTGTTTTATAGCCTCTCTCCCTGGGGACAGTGGCCCATAAACTGCCCTGCTGCTGGGCCACCTGTTCGGTGGGTAGAAACAGCTGTGGCATAGGGTGGGACCGCCTTGAGGTAGGGGTCAGCCCCACTGACCAGTGCTGTAGGAGGAACAGGAATCAGTGTGGGTCAGTGGGTATCCCCATTTGCCCTTAGTTTTGCCTTACCACACTTATTTGTTTTTCCTGTGTTTTGGGGAGGTGCTGGTTTTTTGGGGGCGCGGGGGCAGGCGTTGGCTGCAAATACTAGGGGCTACTCCCAGCTCTGTGCTCGGGATGAGGGGGATATCTCCCAGTGATGCTGCTGGACCATCAGGGTTGGTTGTGTGTGAGCCAAGCCCCTTTGCCCTTTAAACTATCTTTCCTCCCGCTCCTCCTTTCTCTCCCCCCCACCCCCCACCAGATGTTTCTTGAATTTTTCGGGGAAAATTCCTTTTACTCCAACCACGGGCAGACCCTGGTCCGGCAGGCGAGGGGTGCAGCGCGTCGCCATCTAGTGGCGAGCGACGGGAGCGCGCGGTAGAGAGTTCCGGGGGAAGGGATTATCCCGAATCACCTAAGAAACTTTTAAAAATAGCCCTCAAGTCCCACCCCACACCTGTGTCATCAGAAATGGGAAGGCATGAAAAATCTGCAGGGTCACTTTAGAATGTCATTTTGCTATGCCTTATCTTTAAACTCTAAAGTACTAGGCTTGGGATAGAATCTAGGAATCAGTTTTGGAGTAAGGGAGATTGGGGTGTCATACCCAGAGGGTGCTCAGGGGCTACTGCTGGCTCAGTGCTGAGCGTTTGCTCCTGGCCGTGCTCGTGGGACAAAAGTTCTTACCTCTGGTTCCAGCTTGATCCCCAGCACCACATGGACTCCCAAACATTGCTGGGAGCAGCCCTGAGCACAGAGCTGGGAGAAGTGAGCATGCCGGGTATGACCCAACCCCAACCCCAGTACACACATGCCCAGTGCATGGAGTGTGCTCCTGTCCGTTGTTTGGATGTGGAAATCTTTTCCTTCTTCCTTCCTTCCTTCCTTCCTTCCTTCCTTCCTTCCTTCCTTCCTTCCTTCTCTTCCTCCCTTCCTCCCTTTCTCCCTTTCTCTCTCTTTTTCTTTCTTTCTTTCTTTCTTTCTTTCTTTCTTTCTTTCTTTCTTTCTTTCTTTCTTTCTTTCTTTCTTTCTTTCTTTCGTTCTCTCTTTCTTTCTCTTTCCTTATTTCCCTCTCTCCCTCCCACCTTCCCTCCCTCCCTCCCTCCCTCCCTCCCTCCTTTCTCTCTCTCTTTCTTTCTTTCTTTCTTTCTTTCTTTCTTTCTTTCTTTCTTTCTTTCTTTCTCCACACCTGATGATGCTCAGGACTTACTCCTAGCTCTTCACTTAGGTATTACATCCCATATTAAAATATATGGGATGCCAGGGATCGACCCTGGGTTAGCCACATGCAAAGCAAGCACCCTAGCAGCTGTACTATCGCTACAGCCCCATGGAAATCTTTTCTTTTTAAATCGTATCTGTTTTGTGAGGTGATCGGGTTTCTGAGCAACACTGGGGTGAGGCAGGGCCAGGGACCACTCCTGCAGAGGCGTGGCCAGCTGGGCAGGACAGGTCAATGCTGCTGCTCCTACTGCTTGACCCAACAGGGCTCGGGGCCACAAGGGATCCAACAAGTGGTGCTGCGGGGGGCGGGGAAGGGGACTTGCAGTCCATGAGATCAATCCGGGCCTCTCGTGTGCAAGTCCTTTTCATCGTCTCTATGGCCCTCGAGAGGAAGTCACCGCAGTGTGGTTGCATTTGCAGATGGGCGAAGAGCCGGTGATGGGACTAGTGCCCCAATGAAAAGGCCAGGGAAAGCCTGGGGGCTTCCACTGTGCCCAGGGAAGCAAGGACCCATCATCTGTGGCTCAGCGAGTCCTCTCCTCACTGGGACTTCATCTCCGGCTCCTGTTTCTGGAACTGTGACACGTGAATTTCTGTTATTCCTTTGTGACTGCCCCCGCCCCAACCCCCTATGTAGGGCACTTGTATTAACAGCCCGGATGGACTAGGATGTCAAGAGGGGAAGTCAGTCATGAGAAGGTTTGGAGTGGACTGGGGAGGCAGCAATAGGGCAGTCTTGGGGTTCCAGCCTCAGTGTGGGGTGGATCTCTAAGGTGCCATAGGTTGTGTTTCCCTGAATGCAGGCTGCACCCCAGGACCCCCACTCTGGTGCTCCCGAAAGGGCCCGGAGTCAGCTGACCTTGGGGACTGAGAACAGCCTTGTGGGTCCCAGGCAGGGGGAGTTCATGGGCTGCCTTTGGCCCCCTCACTTGCTACCTCCCGCTTCCTGCAGCCCTTTGCCTCTGGCTGGATTTAGATTTTTCCGGTGGGGTGTGTGGGGAGTGGCGATGCTCAGGGGATCACGCAGGGTGAGGGTTTGAACCTAGGCCCCTGCCTGCAAAGCATGTGCTCAGATCCCTGAGCCATCTCTCCTGCCCTGGGTTTGGCTTTTGACTTCACAGCTTTGCGTTTATGTCACTTGGGGCATTTTTGGGTCCCTCATGTGAGGCTTTGCTTGGTCAACAGCTCCTGGGCTCAGTGTTGTCAAGGCAAGGCTGGTGCATCCTCTGCACTGGAGCTCGAGCCGAGGGTCCTGCTGGGGAATCAGCCTGAACGAGGTGCCACTCAAAATCTGAAACTGGCCAGCGGGTACCAGGGGCCAGGTGGCAGTGAAAGGATAGGAAGTGGTTGCTTCCCCACAGCTACAGTTTGGCTTCCACGGTTGCAGTGTTGGCAACCCAAGGGAGGGGTCTCTAGCTTGGATGAGGTCAGTGGAAAAGAGCAGAATGCAGGTATGCAGGTCTGCCTTGTCCTTGCTCACTGTTCTGGGTAAGGCAGGCGGCGGGCTTACGGGACATGTGTGTGCATGGATGTGTGTACATATATCGTGCATGCAGGAAGGGCCAGGTGCCGCCATGTCAAGACCTGAAGGATGACAGAGAACTTGACGAGGACTCAGTTAGGGCCAAGAGATGGAACACCAATTCTGGCAGATTTAATCGCATGTCTCTCTCTCTCTCTCTCTCTCTCTCTCTCTCTCTCTCTCTCTCTCTCTCTGTCAGGGAAAAGGATGCTGTGGGCTGGAGTTTAAGAGTGAGTCTCCTTAAAATTCATGTGTTGTAGTGCTACCCTAGTACTAGAGTCTGTGATGGTGTTCGAGCCTTCAAAGAGGTAAACTGAGGATCTGTGGGTGGAACCTGCGCATGGTGACTGGTGTCCTTTTCGTCAGAAGAGATTAGGATACAGTCAAGGGAATCCCGGGAGACCCAGGAGGAAGATGATCACTCACCAAGCAAGTGGGGGGACTTAGGAACAAAGTCTGCTGACACCCAATCTGAGAGTCTGAGTGTTCATAAATGTTTGCCGACATGTCCATGGGTCTTCCCTCCTGCAACCAGCCACTTGGGGTGGCTGCAGTCATGCAGGCTGACTGGCATGTGGAAGCAATGGGATGGGTCAGGCTGTCGTTTGACCAAGCTAGGAGCTGGGTGCATGAGCTGTAGGGACAGTCATACATGTGCCCTAAAGCTGCCACCCAGTTTAGAATTTAACTCTAGCTGTATCACCCCGTTACAGAATTTGGACATCCTGGACATCTCAAACTCTCTATCACTGATAAACCAGGAGGAGCACACCAGATTGGATGCAATGTAAAGTAGAAGGAAACCAATCTCAGTTTACAAAATATAAACACAGAGGCTTAACCTGTGACAACATTTTAGTAATCTCTTTTACAAGGGCTTAATGGCTGCCTGGAGAGATACAACAACCTTCACTAACTTTCTTCTGGAACTTTTTTCTTCTTCCAGAAACATTTTTTGATCATTCTTTTAGCAAATTATTTATAACAAGCAATATAAAATAAATTATTGAGAGCCTGCTATGGGAGCAGGTTTAAGGTGTGGCTGGGAAAATTTGAAATAATGGTGGTGCCAAGGTGCAATGGTGGTGGGGCTGGTGCTGGAATATTGGATGTTTGTAACTGTTAAACTATTGACTTCGGGGCTGGAGAGATAGCACAGCGGGTAGGGCGTTTGCCTTGCACGCGGCCGACCTGGATTCGATTCCCAGCATCCCATATGGTCCCCTGAGCACCAGCAGGAGTAACTCCTGAGTGCAGAGCCAGGTGTAACTCCTGTGCATCGCCGGATGTGACCCAATAAGCAATAATAATAATAATTAATAATAATAATAAATTAAAAAATAAACTTTTGACTTAATAAAGTTTTAAAGAAAAGGACAAAAGCAACTAAATCCAGGAGCTGTTGCTCCTTTGTCAATACAGCGGCTCAAATAGAAGTTCTGACAGCAATCAGGTCTTGTTGACTGTGGAGAGCTGTGCTGTGCCCCTCAAAGTGAATTTGGGGGTTCTACACCCTTGGTGTTGGGGGGGTCATACATCGCCCCCATTCTGGGCTGTGAAGAGAATAAAGAACGTTGCTAATTCCTGCCTTGTTTTACCTTTCCCTTTTGTGTAGTTGGAAAGACTGTGTTAATCGCTGTGCTTTTCAATATTGTGTATACAAAGACAAAACAAAAAAAAATGAGACAAAATAAACAAGCAGAAAAATAATAAAAAACAAAATAAACAAAAAAAAGCCCGATCAGCACCTCAATCTTGGGTTTCCCAGCCCCTAACATCCCGATTAAAAATAAATAAATAGTGGCTGGAGTGATAGCACAGTGGGTAGGGTATGTGCCTTGCACACGGCCAACCCAGGTTCTATTCCCAGCATCCCATATGGTCCCCTAAGCACTGGTAGGAGTTAATACCTGAGTGCATGAGCCAGGAGTAACCCCTGAGCATTGCCAGGTATGACCAAAAAAGCAAAAATAAAAAAATAAGGAAATAAAGAAAGAAAGGAAGAAAAGAAAAAGAAAGAAAGGAAGGAAGAAAGAAAGAAAGAAAAAAATCTCTATCACTTGAGTGCCCTTGACACTCCATCTTTGGTATCTGGTTAGAACAGCCCAGCTTGAGGCGGTGACTAAGGGTCTATTCTGACAACAATGACGCAGACGATGCCAAGGGGAGGGTGATTGTCAGTGGGTTCCCTCCTGGCGTGGGGCCAGGGATGCCAGGGCAGGAGTTAGCTCCCCAACAGGGAGAGCAGAGTCTGGACCTCGCCATGAGGACAGGGCACTGCAGAGCTCCATCCTGGGCCCATCCTCCCTGGAGGAGGAGTCCTGGAGTCCCTGGAGGCTGAGAGTGTGCCCAGACTGCACACTCTGGAGTCTGGGATGTGGAGACAGAGAACTGCATTCAGATCCCTGCCCTGGGACTCCTTCACATTTGGAGCTGCACCAGCCCCTCCTGCAGCCTTTCCAACCTCAGTTTCTCCATCTATGAATTGGCTGAATAACCTCCCTCTCCAGGAGGCTTTTTGGGGGAAGAAAAGGAAAACCACAGAAGAAAAGGCCAGGCAACAGCCGCACGGTGGGTGGTAGCATTTATTGGTTTTGTTAGTGGTAAAACCAGCACTTGGGATCTTTCTCAAGGACCACTTGTCTCCTTTATGGCCACGGTCTGGCCTCAGCACTGGGCTCAGGGAATGCTCCTGGGAGAGCTGGTTGCTCGGGATTCCGAAGGAGCTTTTCCTCCGGGGTCCTGCTCCGCTGCCTGCCTCTTGGCTATAGTGGCAGAGTGGATGTGGTGGTGGCGAGAACTGTTAGCTTGGTTAGGACTGAGAGTTGGACACCCCCTTCCACCCTGGTAGAGAATACTGAAGTCACGTCTTGTCACCTGGTCCTATTCTGTCGGACCCAGCTGTGTTCGGGGACCTCAAGGCTTGGGGTCACTCTCCTAAGGTCCCTTCATTCTGCCAGGATGGTGTCAAGGCCCTACCCCTTCGCCCACTCCCTGTGCTTAACGGACTTCTTCTGCCTCCCTCACCCCGGGGCCTCCACCTGCAAAGCTGACATTCAGATTTTGGGGTGCTCTGCTTAGCCAAGACTAGAGAGGCACTTCCAGAAGCATCTGGAGAGTCCAGGGGACAGACTCTGCTGCCAATGTTTGGGAAGAATATGGGCTACCTCCTTCTACTCTGACTCTCCCCAACCTCTGGGCTCAATCACTCCTTCTCAAAGGTCCAGTACCATGAGTATAAGGGGTGTGTGTGTGTGTGTGTGTGTGTGTGTGTGTGTGTGTGTGTGTGTATCTCATCCAGGGGCTCCCAGATGCACAGGCCTGGACTCGCTGCGTGGTTTGGGTGGGGCTGGCCACTCACTGCCCAGGAGGTAGCCCCTGTCAGCCTCTCCTGGGTCTGCTGGGGGATTTTCTACCACAGCCCTCTGTCCCCATGGCTCTTGCCCACCCTGAACTCAGGGCTCACATTTCTGGTTCTTCCAGCAGATTTGCCTCTGTAAGGAGGTTGAAAGGCATCATCAGAGCTCAGTAGGCTACAGGCTCAGGGCATACCAGGTAAGAGAGAAGCTGCTGGAGCAGCATCTGTACCAAAAGTTCCCTCCCAGGCTGCCCGCCTTGCCCCAGGCCTGGCATCCTGACACTGCAGATGCCAGGGGCTGAGGTATCACTGCAGCTGGCCCCTCCAGGGTCTGCCCTCCCAGCTTGTCCCAGGGGCCAAGCCAGGGGACAAGGCGGGCTTCATTTCTGATAGTGTGGTTTCCAGAATGGCACCTTCCTGCCATTCTCCTCTCCCCATTCTTCACCCTCCAGGACACACTGCTGGGGTGACAAGTGTATTGGCGACTGTCACAGAGATTCTGGGTTTCGGAAACTTGGCAGACCCAAGGCAGGAACCAGAGCATTGCCCTCTGGCGGTGACTGAGAAAAGTGCCCCAGGAGGCCAAGCTTCTAGACCCCAAGGGGCCACCCAGCAAGGCCTTCGGTAAGAAAGGTCAAGCTTGTGTAGAGGTCAGAGAGAAAAACCTTCTCCGGAAGGGGAAGGACCAAGTCTCAAGGTCCCATGGGCTTGGCCTCAGTTTCCCCACGGGCGGGTGGGGATGATCTGTTGGCTGAAAAGAACACGTGCTTGGACAGTTCTTGGGGGCTGACACACACTGTGAGGCTCAGGTTCAAACAGTTCCTCCACTCAGGGCTAAATGCGTCAGGGGAAATCAGACACCTGGTCCCCCCTCACGATGCACCTCAGAGCTGACAGGGGAGGAGAAGGCCCCAGAGTACTTTCCCTGCTCGGTCTCTCTGCCTGAAGGTGATAGATGCAGAGGTGAACTGGAATCAGAAACGATTTTCAAGGTGCTCGCATGCCTCTCCCTTCTTCCTTGGCTGAGCCCTGTGGGGGTCTCTCGGGAGTCTGAACAGTAAATGATCCTCCCCCTCCTCTTCTGAGCATTGGTCCAGCGGACACAGAGTAGCAGAGAACCAGATCAATGTCCAGGTTGCAAATGGGTAATTACACGTGGGCTTCTTCTGCCCCATCCATCCTTTCTCCTTGAGGTCCTGAGAAGTTACTAAGAGTATTACAGACATTAGCAAGTGTTAATTCTCACAAGCCCTGGGAGGGAACCGGAAGTATTGTAGCTGAAGGCATTGAGGCACGGAAAGGTGAAGCCACCGGAAAGAAGTCACACAGCAAAACAGTGGCAACATCAACAAAAGGGCAAGAGGTTCTCTCCCCCCATCTGAACCTCAGATTTGCCACATTTGTCTCAATTAAACTGTGGTAAGCTCACCTACATTTGCAGAGACAGAGCATTACAGCAAAGCCTTGTGCCCCAGGACAAGACCCTGCCAACTGTCAAGCGTGGAATGGGGGTCACAGACCTAACTCAACCATCTCTGATCTGATGGTTACATTGTCCATGCTGAGGGCAAGTGATCAGCTCAGCATCACACCTGCATCATGGTCCACCAACAGAGGTGAGTGGTGTGAGCTCACTGTGGCCATACAGGAAACAAGGGGGTGAATAGTTCATAGTCACATGCCCCCTCTGTGTGACACGTGACCCCAGGTCTGGATGAACATGACTTCCTGCTCTGCATTCTCCCAAAGAAATTCAATCCTGGGGACACGGAGACACCAGAAGGGACACCGGTCCCCCTGACACCCACCAGCTGGCTGCCAGGGTCCCCATGTCATCTGGCCAGCCTCTGCTTCCCGAGGTCTGCCCTGTGGACATGGGCCTCGGGGTGGTCAGGCTGCTGTCCACTGGCTTCTCCTGGCCCATGGCTAACAGTCCAGTGGTGCTGGCAGGGGCTGGGTGCTGGGACCGTCCACAGTGTAGGAAAGTTCACGGTCGGCTCAGGACAGACAGGCTGGTACTGCCTCCAGCTGCAACCATGGCCGACAGCTGGGGTTCGAGAGACCCCCCCTATGCCGAGGTCACTACGCATGGCCGTGTCGGCCTTGGAGGCTCCTCCCCGTGGTTCTGTGAGTGGTGGTGAGTGGGGTGCTGGAGCCTCAGACGTTGGTGACCTCCAGGCCGTTGTAGCCTTCCAGCCGGCTTGGCTCGGCTCTGCCCTGCAGGCCGTCGTCCTCCCCACAGTCCTCGTTTTGAAGAGAGCCGTAGTCGTCGTGGAAATCAGGGTCTTTGCTGCTGAAACCCCTTCCTATCTTCCCCAGGGGCAGCTGAGAAGAGAGGGGGCGGAGATGAGAGACAGGAAGCAGAGAGGAGAGAAGGGAATGCTTCCTCATCTGGGAAATTGGGGGGGGGCGCCCGCTTGACAACTGCTGTTGCCCCCCACCATCCCCCGAGAAGTCTCATCTCTCTGTGCTCTTCTGATCAGTAACAACACTCTACTGCACGGGGGATGGAGGAGGCTTGGTGAGCTGATTCAAAGGCAAGAGAACGGTGTTCCCATCTGGAAGGACCCAGTTAGTTTACAAGGGTGAAACCAAATATGTTCCTTGCCAGTATTCTGAAGTACCTGGGGTACAACAATGTCCCATCTTCCTCCTCAGTGGGGAAACAAATGAGAGTGTGAATGCATGGACAGGCCGTCTAATTGAGGAAGTATTTCTAAAGAAGAGAGGACACATCCTAGCACTTTCTGTGGCAGAAAGATGAGTCTTGGAGACTCACAAATTGGAATTCCAATCCCCGCTCTGTCACTGCCCAGCTGTGTGACCTGGGAAAAGTCACTTGCCCTCTTCGACATTTCATTTTCTGAGCTACAAAAGTAGGAACTGAATTTATTGTAAAGAGTAGAAATTACGTTTGTATAGCTCAAAGTGCTGGCGAAGGAGCCGAAGTGATAGCACAGCGGGTAGGGCTTTTGCCTTGCACGTGGCTGATCCAGGTTCGGTCCCCAGCATCCCATATGGTGCCCTGAGCAATGCCAGGAGTAATTCCTGGGTGCAGAGCCAGAAGTAGCCCCTGAGCATCACTGGGTGTGACCAAAAAAGCCGAAAAAAATTAAATAGATAAAAAGTGCTGGCTGAGAGCAACTCTTACTATTAC